AGGCCTATCACCATGCACTAAACTAAAGTCAACGTATGTTAAAGGTCTAAACATTAAAACAGAAACACTAAATCTCCTGGAAGAAAAAGTACAAGGAAATCTTGATGACATAGGGGTAGTCAAACAGTTCATGAACAAAAATCAAACTGCACAAGACATATTTGAAAGAACTAACAACTGGACCTACTCTTACTGAGAAGTTTTTTCATATCAAAAGAAATTACCAACAGAGTGGAAAGCCAACCCACAAATTGGGACAAAATCTTATCTAATATGCTCTCAGACAAAGGTCTTCTAACTAGAATTTATTTTTATTTTTATTATTATTTTATTTTTTGGTGGAACCAGGGATTGACCTCAGGCCCTTGCACTTGCCAGCCAAGTGCTTATTCTACCGAGCTATCTCCCCAGCCCCATAGAATTTATGAATAACAAAAAAACAATTAGAACCCCAAAATTTAAAGACCTAATATAGAAATGGGCATCCACCTTGAACACACTTCTCAGAGGAAGAAATACAAAAAGCTAATAATACATGATAAAATGCTCCACATCACTAGCCATTCGTGAAGTGCAAGTTAAAACAACAATGAAATACCATCTCTCCCCAGAAAGAATGACCACATAAAGAAATCAACAACAAATATTGGAGAGGATATGGGGAAAAAGGAATCCTTCTCCACTGCTGGTCGGAATGTAGACTGATGCAACCACTATGGAAATCAGTGTGGAGACTCAGGGAAAAAAAAATAGGACTGGAAATCACATTCAATCCAGCTATCCCCCTTCTTAGAATTTTCCCAAAAGAACTGAAAACATCATATCATAATGATATATCTGTACCTATGTTTATGGCAGCACAATTTGTGATAGCCAAATCATAGAAACAACCAAAAAACATCCATCACCTGAGGAATGGATGAAAATAATGAGGTGCTTTTATGCAATGGAGTATAAATAGAATATGCAGCTATAAAGATAAATAAGCTCAAAGCATTCATATATAAGTGGATGCAACCTGAAGCTATACTCCTAAGTGAAATAAATTAGACACACCTGTATAAATATCCAATTGTCTACCTAGTGTGAGAACTCAAAGGGATAAAAATTGAAAGGTATAACGTGGTTAAATGGCAAGAGAGAAGTTAAAGATTAAACAAAGACAGAGAAAGGGGAAAAGTTAGGAAATATGACAGAGGCAAGTCCATACGTTTATATAAACAAGAAGGTTAAGGCAACGGCTCTAAGAATTTCCATCAGGTTTTTTGCAAAAAGCAGTTAATGGGCAGAATTATCTCTCTGACTAACTCAGTATGCTGATAACTGTGAATAAGCAACTGCATTGTGGACAGCAATATGCATTACTAAAACCATGATTTAAATATCTGCCATTTTGGTCTTTTAAATGCATACTGCTTCTAATGTCATATCAATTATTGCTATATTCTCTTTAAAGGACATGCTTGTAGAAAAAAAAAAAACACTCCATTGCCTTAGATCCTTGACACCTACTATCCCTTCCCTGCACTCCAGGAAACCGGCTTTCAGTATATATGTACCTCATTTACCTGTGGCGAACCTCCTGGGACAGCTGTATGTCAAGTGCATCCAGCAGGGCTTTCAAGGTCCTTAGGTTACTGTGTTGTGGCATGTTTCCACACACAAAGTGGGAAGTCTTCAGGCTTCTCATATTCATCAGTGACTTCAAAGGGAAGTAGGGGAATGGCCAGGCCTGCACCATCACCTTCAGGGACTCATTGTGATCCCCCATGAAGGCATCCACAAATAAGTCATGGAAGATGTGGATAGGCAGGTTGTGAAAATCTGTGCTGGCTATGGTCTCATTCCTCAGCAGGCTCTGTTTGGCCAGCTCATACAGAGGTGGTGGGCTCCGCATGCCCATCCTGAGATAACTGCAAGGGAATGACATTGGATAACATCTAGGAAGAGATATTTCTTCATGCCAACCTCACAGAACTCATTATGTACCCCAAGGTGGCCTCCTACTGACAGTGATTCTACTGCCTCAGTTTCTCCAGTTCTGGGATTCCAGGTGTGCATCATGACACAGGGGTTTTTTTTGTTTGTTTGTTTTTTGGTTTTTTTTTTATTGCCATGTGCAAATAGCAACTAGGTTTTTTGTTTGTTTGTTTGTTTTGTTTTTTGTGGTGCCAGGGATTGAACTCAGGACCCTTTGCTTGCCAGGCAAGTGCTTATTCTACTGAGCTATCTCCCTGGCCCCAGGGTTTTGTTTTTAACTCTTAGGTTGATGGGGATTGGACAAAGTGAAACGCCTCTGAGAGGCAAGGGCCCTGGAAAAAATCACAACCCACCAGCTATGAGCTATCACTTAGGAAATACAAAGTGATTTTTTTTTAATGTATTTAGTACAGGTTCTCAATACACTGATTGGATTTAAGGTAATCCTTCTGTTTTCAGCCTCCCAAGCACTCAGATTACAGACACACACCATCACGCCCAGTATGAATATTTAAATGGTGAGAAAAAAAAAGTTACGTACAATCCACAGGAAAAAACAAGATCGAAGAAATTTTCCTGCTCGGTAAGGTAGCACATGCCTATATTACTCGCATTCAAGAGCAGAATCCCTGAACTGAAACCAGCATGAAGCACAAAATGAGGCCCGATCTCTGAAAAAAAAAAAGTTTGCCAATGCACAAATACCTGGATAAAAATTGGGGGAGAAAATTTGCTCATTTCTAATCAAGACAAAAATCTAACGCTGCCTTGGGAGTTCCAGCCACAGTCACAATTGTAGAGAGGTCGAGGCAGGAGAATCTGGATTACAAGACCTCCTGGGCTCTATACTGAGGTGAAATCCAGGGACAACATAGCAAGAATTTGGGTCATACCAAACATAACTTCTACAAACCCCCAGACCTATCGATCTCAAGTGAGATAAGTCCGCCCGTGCTGTCTGTGATCTATTTTCCCTACAGGTCTCTAGCTGCGGGTAGTAGGTGGGACGCCCTCATGGAGGCCAGATACTCACCAGGTGTAGGCTCAGATGACGGGGTTCTGGAAATTCGGGCAGCACCAGGACCATGGGAAGCTCCAGAACTGAGCACCTCCTTCTCTGAGCCTCCCCTATTTTATTCCCTTTGTTAGCCACACCTTGCCCGCCTAGCTCCTCCCTTCCCAGAACACTTGGAGTCCTGATTGGTTCTTCTCTCTCCACTCACTTAATTGTGGTTGGGCTTGGGGCTTTCTCCATTCTGATTGGTTTGCAGAAAACCTGTAACAGAAGGATTTAGGAGAGAGGAGAAATGAATCATGCCACACAGATTGTTTTATTAACATGTGCTAGTTGAGTGAATGGGAAAGATTTAATCCTGTCCTGCTCTTGGGCTGGAACAGTCCCTGTATCGGGATGTATACGTGCACCCAGTTTCATTGAGTTCTAGAGTTAAAACCACTGTGCAGTCTCAGGGTGCTGTGGCCAGTGGCTAGAGTCCCAGCTGCTCTGGATGAGGGAGCTTGAGGTTAGCCTGCTTGACACAGAATGGCCTCACCTCAGAAAACAAAACAAAACAACCAAACAAGGGAAGGAAATGGAGCAGTGTCTGTTCTTATAATCCAAGCACTGTGGGATGTTTAGGCAGGGTGACCACAAGTTCAAGTAGAGCCTGGGCAACTTACTTGGTAAACACGAATCTCTCTTTAAACAGAATAGGTCCGGCAAAATAGCTCAGTGACTAAGTGCCTGGTTAGGCAAGCACAGGGACTAGGGTTTGATACCCCGCAACCACATATTGTGCCAGCCCCACCCCCAGGAGTACTAACCCAGCTAATGAGACTGGGCGTGATGGCCCAAGCTTGTAATCCAAGCTTTGAGGAGACAGAAAACAGGAAGTTCACTAGGAGTCTGAAATGCATAGTGAGACTCTGTATCAAATATATTTTAAAAAACAAATTAAAAAAAAAAAAAGCTAGACTTGGTAGGGCATGGCTGTAATCCTAGGCTTCAGAGGTTGAGGTAGAAAGATCGCTGTGAGGGGTAATCCGTCCTGGGCTACATGAGTTTAAAGTCAGAATGAACTACTTAGTGAGACCTAGTCTCAAATAATAAAGCATACAAGTAAATAAATAAATGTTTGGGCATTTCACTCAATGCAAAAACTCTTCATTCAACCACAAATGTTGCAAAAATGAAGAATAAATAGAGACATCCACACATCTATCTAAATCTATGAACACAAAGGCAGCAAGTAAGCCCCACTCTACAGAGGTACTCCAGGAGTTTATTATTATTATTATTATTATTATTATTATTATT